CTGAAGAAACTAGCAACTCAGAGGCTTTTCGTGTTTGTTAAGCATCGCATCTCCGTCCGAACGTTGTCAATTTTAGACCCCTGCAGGGAACACTGCTGGCTAAAAGAACGAGAGTTCACTGTAGACAAATTTCTCCAAATTTCAACAGTGCGGTGACTCTATGTTCCGTTGATTTCAGAGCTGCAGAAAGATGCGGACTTGTTGCAGGGGACCATCGATTCGCTTTTTGATGTTGATGGGATGAAACAGGTACATATTGGCAGTATCATCATGCAAGGCCTTTCTAAGTCTTAATTTTCGACCCCAAGATCGCCTCCTAATGTCGCTACGCATGACTGACAAAGGATAACTCGAGCGATTAATGCTATCTATCATTTCTTCCAGAAAACTGAAGAAAAAACAATGAAACAGGCACAGAATCATTAACAAACTGAATACTTGATTACCTCGCTTAAATCACCGCCAGCAACACTCGTTGAATGTGTAGTTACCCTACGGTAAACAACAGCAGCCTACCAAAATAGCTACCTTTGGTTGGTATCCGGTTTTCTGTTTCGTGACTCCTAAAATTTCGCCAGTAAATGACAACTTTATTTTCAGGAGCTATATCGTCTTCACAGCGTGATTGTTCATGAAGGTGAGGCAAACGTTGGGCATTACTGGGCTTACATAGCTAGCTCGCCGTTGTGCGGAGCCGAAGTATCGTGGCGCAAATTCAACGATAAAAGTGTTGGGCCGGCGACTTGGCAGCAAATCGAGGAAGATGCGTTTGGCTCGCGGAGGGCTTGTTCGGCATATTGTCTGGTTTATACGAGGGCCAAATGCGAGGAGGCGCTTTATGGCGATGGTATTTTATATTGATTTTGTGCATGCATTTCATCTGTTTCAGTGGTGCACAGCGAACTTATTAGCTATCTCAGTTGTGAAATATTGATTGCAGAGCGAGGAGAATTATCAAAATCGATTCCGGAGTTACTGGATATGCTACCGAACGATCTAAAGTTGGATGTTGCGGCTGATAATGCGCTGTTCGATGCAGAAATGATCAAGTGGGACAAAGAGCATCCAGCAGTTGAAATGGGCCCGAAAAATAAAACATGGCTTATCAACGCCAGCAAGTGCCCGGTATTTTATTTTTCACCACCCTAGACGTGTACATTTGTCTTGCCCCTTGTGTGGCAGATTTTTCAAAGTATAAAACATCAATAAGATCCAGTAATATTAGGACTTGGTGGAAATGGTCTCGTACAAAGGACCACTCGACATTGAT